TATATATATATATATATATATATACATATATATATATATATATAAAACCCACACATCATGGATAGAACATGCAAACTCAGGGTCCCCAGTCAGGTTTTGAACCGGCAACCTTCTCACTGAGAGGCAACAGTTCTACCAACTGAGCCACCATGCCATCCTAGGAAGATAACATACTTTTTAAACTCATATCTTATGAAATTGAAATGTACAAACATACATTATTAGTTGCAGAGAGAAATGTGATATCTACTGTACATGATTTGTCAGTGACAGGCTATTTCATGTACCATCTAAAACAGCTGATTTATGGATGAATAACTGCATTTTCATTGGCTCCCAGAAAATTTAAATATCTTATAATTCCACTCACTGGTTTATTGACCAACAACAGTTCTGGAATTGACCAAAAATGATATTCTTTCCCCACCATTAACCAATAACAGTCCATAAATTCACTTGATGCGCTGCATGAGTTTATTATGGCCACTTGGTGGTAGTGTTGTTTGGTTTGTCTTTGCCATCTCATTTTCACTGACTTCCATAAAGATGAGGTAATTTTGTGGTTATCCTGGGACATTCAACCTCTGTTTAGTGTGAAAGTTTCCCTGCACACATCTACATACAAATGCATGATGTGCTGGACTGGTGTCACATCAAGTTTCTTATGACATGTTCAAAGCAAATCTTGCTGAAGTCATATAGTGTGGTGTAAAAAGTTGAAAGTGATTATGGGGAGATTACAAGTCACACTCTGCTGTTGAGCTTTACTAAGCAAAGATATCCATCCATTCATTATCTTTACCATATCAGACCACTTTATTTATAGAGCACTTTAAACCGTAACAAGGCTAACCAAAGATACTTTTTTTAAGAGACTGCTTTAAACAGCAGAAAATTCACTTGATTGCTGATATGTGCTGTTGATCTCATGCTGCTGATTTATTCATGCTGCTATATTCATTCGTACTCATCTGCGTACACAGACTCATATTTGTGCTGCTGTTGTTCGGCGTACTGTTTTTGTAATAGTAGTGTTTAATGTATTCTTAGTTTAGCATATTTCTTAGTTCATATCTTAGATCTTATTGCAGTTGTTTTTTTGTTTATTTGTTTTTACAATTTATACTTTTGTTTGATGTAACTGGGACCCTGTGTATACAATTTTGTTCCACCACATGTACCAACTGTGGTGGAACAACGAATAAAGAAACTTTGACTTTGAATTTGTCTAACCACAACTGCCCAAGCTTGTAAGGATATTTCTTTCATTGCTTATTGTCTATGTCATTCGACCTTTATTTATACAGGTTAGTCTCTATTAAGCCTCGAAGACTCATTTACAAGAGACCTGTGAATAGAGAGAAGATGGCATGAATGAACCCACTGTAACACTGAGATGGTGATGTTGCTGTGTGAATGGGGATGGACCATAGGCGTCACAGCCATTATATGTGAAGGGGACAAGTCCCCCCCACATTAAAAAAACGTTAATTTGGACCCCCCACCCACTTCTACTATAAAACATTAGTTCAGGCGGCGCAGTTTCTCTTTCTTCATGAACGAATCCATTCCACTTGATTAATAGAATACTCAAGCCACTAAAACTCCACTCCAGGATTTCCTGGTTACCTCCAACTCTCCACCGTCCCTTCCTGCCTCTTGCCTCGGCAGAAAACGTGCACAGGTGGAGGAGATGGAGGTACCTGTGTTACTCGCTTGCCAGTTTAGCAGCTTAGTGTGGGCAGTGGTTGACGGGGTTGATCATAAACATATTCATGTTAGGAGGATGTTTGAGAGGAGTGCTACGTCTATAGCATCTTAGCTTAGCAGTAAGTGTGACGCTGTAAGACGCTGCAGGTGTAAGAGCTGGACTCTGTGTGTTCAGGTGCATTAAAGTTGAAATGTCTTTAAAACCTCACACCTTATTGCTCCAGACCCGTACAAAAGAAAGTTAAATGTTGGAGCCAGGACAGTGGACCCATACTGAGAGATTGT